GAGAATCTGTCTTCTGTGAGAATTACTGGATGTTGTATATGTTTTGAAATGTCTGTGCTTGTAGAAGTGCTTAAGAGGAGTAACTCTATTTAAATGTTTCTGGAAGAGCTGGTGAAACAAAGATTCTAGATTAAGAACATGTCACAAGGGAACCTGATGAAAAAAGCTTTTTCCACTCTACATGTCCCTAGCAAGTTACAGTGGAGCACAAGGAAATACAGCACAGCCAGTTGATGGGGCTACTTGTAAGAATAAGTATACAAACGACCATATAAGCTAAATAATGGTAGCACTATACCAATTGCCTCATATAAGTAACAAGGTGCTTTTCTCCCACAAGTAGAAAGCTATATCCATAAAGAGAGGCACCATCCAATTTGCCCTGAACTCAGAACAATCATGCCGCTGCTTTTAAACACAGTAACACCGATTTCCTCATCCCTGTTACATCCGGATGGGGAGGGTGGATTATATCTAATTGAAGATGCAAACACCATCTCTAAATTGGGGAATTGCACAGTGCTGACTTTTAAAACTATTCACTAACATAATTTCCTTTGCAAGCTGCTACTGGTGATGTCTGATAGATCCTGCTTGCTGTGTGATACATTAGCACATTAATCCTTATCCATTAGAAGGAGAACACCTGAGCACCAAAATCTGTTAAAACCCCCTCTGGTTTAATGCACCAGGGCACCCCCAAAAGCTAACATACTAGATATACAAAATGTCTTTCATTTTTAGCAATAAAGCCAGTTTTCAACCCATCTGTTGAGCACTTAGGAAGTGAAAGTATCCCTTCAGCTCACATTGCCTCCTCAGCTAGATCTATGTATATGTTCAGCCATGACAGCAGAGGAAATTCAAATACAGTGGCTTAGGTAAGGATCAGTTCCTTACTTAAGGCTCAGAGTTCATTTTCATAGGGCTGATTCTTTAATAGAGAATGGAAAAGCAGTGTGATGTAGTGGTTATGAGCAGGTGATCTGGATTCTAGTCCCCACTCAGCCATGGAGCCAATTGGGTGACCTTAGGCCAGTCCCAGGCTCTCAGCCCAACCTCCCTCACAGGGTTGCTGTTGTGGAAATAAGAATGAGAGCAGGAGGAGGAGAATGATATGAAGTGCTTTAAGTTTGTCCTAAGAAAAATAAAGCAGAATACAAATCAAATAAATACTTATAAATAATAGTGTTCCTGATGTCAACTCTACAATTCTGTGCTACCTGCCTGTACTCTTCCTTTGTAGCTTGGCCTTTCTTCCACTGCCTAAACATGTCAATTTTTGCTTTCAGTTCATCTCTATACCATTTTTGAAGCCATATGGGTTTCTTCTGTTGCCTTCTTCCCTTTCTCCTTGTCAGAATTGTTTGCAATTGTGCCTTTAGAATTTCCCTTTTTTTAAAAAAAATGCCTTTCCACCTTGGACTCCTTTTCCCACGGGACTTTACTTAATGTTGTTCTGAGTTCATTAAAATGGACTTTCCTAAAATCCAGGATATGTGTTTCGCTACACTTGGCTTTTGCTTCCTTTAGAAACAAGAATCCAAGTATGGCTCGGTCCTTTCCCCCCTGTAACCGCCACTTTGCCCACTAGGTCTTCCCTGTTGGTCAGAATCAAGTCAAGGATAGCCATTCCTCTATTTCCTTACTCTGCTTTCTGTAGAAGGAAGTTATCAGCAGCACACATTAGAATTTTTTTGGAGGGGCCCCGTTTGGCAGAATTCATCTCCCAACAGATACTGGAGAAACTGAAGTGCCCCATAATTACTACAGCATGCCTTTTCATCGACTGAAACTCTGTTGTTACAGGTCGAACTGAAGGCTGATCTGCACCTTACTGGGTGAAAGAGAGGAAGCATGAGTGACAGTCTAATCCTGAACACGTCCATTCAGAAGTAGCTCCCACTCACATTAATAGAGCTTATGCCCTGCTCATTGGGTATAGGATTATAGGCTCACACCACAATGCTGTAGTTATCTATTCAAAAGCAAGTCCTTTTGACTGTAATGGGGCTTTTCTCAAATAAGGGAAGATATGCTGCCTTTTCCATCTATGCACAATTGGTGCAGCATCTAGAAGGGGGTAATGTGAAAACTCTGGATGTGAAAAGAGCTGGAGCTCTGCTATGCAAGTCCTTTTTGTAAAGTAATGTCAGGCGATAACAGGACGTACATCTCAGGTACTGTCCCATTCCTTCCATCAAAATAATACACAAAGCCATCCTGAATATCTTCCCCTGAAACACTACTGCCCTGAGTTCTGACTGAATGTTCGCAATAGCACTTTTAACTGAAACCTGAACCTCTGCTGCTGATGAATCAAGAAGATGACTTTGCCTACAGTGGTCACACACACATTGCCAAAAGAGGCCAAAAGAAAATACTGAATTGCATAAAAAGTGCATGTGCACTATAAATGGAAAGGACTGTAGCCAGGTAACCTCTCAGTCTGCTGTCTAGGTGCAAACTGCTGATGGGCGGCCACCTTCAAGGGTTCTGCTGTTCTCCCTTCTTGTGAGTCTCTGTTTTCATACCAGAGTTGAACCAGGCTGCCTTTCAAACAGAGGATGTCTTCAGTGTCTTCTGCAAAGGAAGACTTGACCACCTTAGTTTCATAACTTCCACATGCAACCTGAGATACAAAAATGATGGATGGAATCATGTCCTCTCTTGGTTGTTGCCCCCAAAATTAGCATTTATAGAACCTCAGCAAGGATAGAACCTCAGCAAGAGAACTGGCCTGATCTCTTATATGTGCCATGTGGCCAATCCATATTTGCATAATGGTGCTTTCAGGTATATGACACCATTTTCAGGTCATTCCTGCATGACAAAACCAGAGCCAATTCACTGATGTGCTCATTTACTCCATTGTAATCAGAGCTGCATTCAGAAGGAATATACCAGTACACTCACTTAAGACCACTTCCATCAAAATTGCAATTGAAGAGCAACTAAAAAAAAAAAAAAAAAAGTTAATTGACAGAATCACAGATGAGTCATACCATGCAGAAGTAAGAAAAGAAACCTCACTTAGTAAGCACTTGAACTGCAGATTGAGAAAGAGCAATTCAACTAGTATGGACCAGTTTTCTTGCCACATGTCCATTCATTTTGAAATACGGAAACTTCATGAATGTCTCTTTGCAACTACTTCTATCCAGATGAAGAAAGCAGCTTTTCCCATTGTGATGACTCTGTAAATTCATGTTCTAGTTACAGCACTTTTTGGTGACTAACTAGTATTGTTTCTGTGGCAGAATCCCTTCCTAATTCTCCAAATTTCTCACTGGGATGGAAGAAGGGGAGAGTCCATCCAGGGTTTTCCATAAGAAAAACTTTTAAAAGAAAAGCCAATGGACAACATGAATAGATTTGGCCTCTTCCTTCATAAGCTGCACGAACCTGCTTCAGCCAAGGAGCTGGTTGCCTATTTGCAAACATTTGTGGGGTGTGTTTCATGGGGTGTTCCCAGAGGAAGCTCTAATGCCCAGCTGCCATGCCTCCTTCACAGTTCAACCTCCCCATGACACTGTGCTCCATTTGTGATCAGCCAGTATTTACCCACTGCTACATGAGCCCCTTTTATCACAAGAAGGTGTTTCCAAACAGGATGTCTAGGAATACCAATCAGAAGGCATTGTGCAGCAATTCTATCTCCCCCGCCCCTCCCTTAACAGATTTCTCTGCCTTAGGGAAGAAGAGGTGAGAAAACACAAGAGGGTTCCACTGGGTCCCAGACCCCCCCACACACAAAAAAAGTCTAAGGACAAGACAGGCAAAGGGGCCGTAAGAGTCCCATCACGTGGACGCAGCAAGAAAATCCGGTAAGGCGTGAAAGGAGCAGAAGAGCAGCAAGCAGATCCCCTTCAGCAGGTGCGAACAGGGAAAGAAGCGATCCAGCCAAAGTGGGAGGAGTCATCTCTGGGGAATGATGGATGACGTGTTGTGTACATCGCCTTTCTTCTTTGCTTGCATTTCCTGATGCAAGCCATTTTGTATCGTGCAACTCAACTCCTTTCCCTCTGAGTTTGATTTTGATTTTTTAAAGTGTCTGAATGCATCTGGCCTGCGGGGTCTCTAAAGCAAGTCGTCCTTTGGCTCTCCGCAGTACTTAATTGCTTCCTTCCGGAGCGAGCTATCTAATCTCATCGCTGATGAAAACATCACGATCAGGATACGGGTACTACCAATTGTGCCTCAGAATTCATGTGACACGTTGATACAAGATTTGATTTTCCAGTGTCTTCTGTGGAAGAGACCGGCGATCCGACTGCAAAAATTACAACGGTGTGGCAAGGGTGGTCGTGCAAGAACCATTCTTTCGGGAGTAAAACTCATTGTACCAATGAGCGTATTGCACAGTTAATAAATTCTGGACACTTTATGCTGGAGCCTTTTCTTTTGGGTGTTGCTCTTTTCACTCTTCCCAACGGTTCCTCTCTAAATTAGGGAAATACGGAAAAGCTAGGCTGGCCCTGAAGGGTCCGCTACAATACTGTATAGTGGACTAACAGTGAGCTAACTGGCCAGCAGGTGGCGGACTGTCGGCCTTATTCCGGCTCTGCTGCGCCATTAAACAATAGAGGAGGAAGCATCCATGTGCGTGCGGGTTCGGTCCGCTTCCAGTCCTCGCCGTTTCCCCCGGCCACCGCATTGGTCCCGATGAAAACCAGAGGGAGCGGATTGTCGTTGCGAGGCTACTGACGGGAAAAAAGCAGCAGCCCGGGCAACGATCGGAGTCTTCGCCTGCTACCAGCTAAGGCCAAGGCGCGCTCCGCAGGAGCCAATATCGGCTCGGGAGCAGCCCGTGACTCGGCACCACCCCCTGCCTCTCTTTCTTGCGTCAGATTCATGTTCCGGGGGGCGGGAGGGAAGGGGGGAGCTGAGAAGGAACCACGCGCGGTTTGCCCGGGGGAGGAGCGGAAGGGCTGCTGGGGGAGCGAAGGACTTGGCTGCGAAGGCAGAGCTGGCCCCGCGGAACGCCGAGGCTGCCCTTCTGGAACGCCGCTGCACTTCGGAGCGCTCGCGGTCTCCCGCGGCGCCGAGGCGGGGCGCGAGCGGGGGCTCCCGGGGACCGGCTGCTCCAGCGGGACGGGAGTTGCTCCTCTGAGTCCCACCGGCGGGGCCCTGCGGGGTTTCGGAGAGCGATCGGCTCGGTGTCCGCAGTTCGATGGTTTGTTCCGACCGAGATGAGCCGCCCGTCCTCCGCCGGACCCAGTGCTAACAAACCTTGCGGCAAGCAGCAGCAGCACAGTCCGTCCGCGGCTGCTGCGCCCGCCGCCGCCGCCAATCCCGCCGCCGCCACCATCTCAGCCGCCGGAGCCGGCTCCTCCGCGGTTCCCGCCGCGGCCGCTGTGATCTCAAGCCCTGGAGGAGGCGAAGGGAGCGGGGGGCCCGTCTCGCCGCAGCACCACGAGCTGACCTCGCTTTTCGAGTGCCCGGTTTGCTTCGACTATGTGCTGCCCCCGATCCTGCAGTGCCAGGCCGGGCACCTAGTGTGCAACCAATGCCGGCAGAAGCTGAGCTGCTGCCCCACGTGCAGGGGATCCCTGACCCCCAGCATCAGGAACCTGGCCATGGAGAAAGTAGCCTCGGCCGTCCTTTTCCCTTGCAAGGTAAGGATGGAGGGGAAGGTCTCGGAGCCAGCGGCCGAGCCATCAGGAAGGGTGGGCGGGGAGAGGGACACGATGCAGCGAAGGAGCCCGCTCGGTCTCAGCGCCTGTCCTTGAGGCTGCGGCAAGCCGAGTGCTTCTCTCGGAGCCTCGTCTTACGAAATTCCCTGGGCTCCCTCCCCCACCTTGCAATTCAGTCGTTATTCGAAACGAATGAAAAGTGCTGCCTTTCCCTTCTCCGCGGAACTGTTTCTCAGAGACCCTGAAAGTGAGACACAGCAGAATATTTATTGATTTATTCCAGCCTTTCCTCAGCCTGGCGCCCTCCAGATGCGTTGGACTGCATCTCCCATTCTCCCAGCCAGCATGATGCGAGTGGTCCAACACATGCGGAGGACACATTACGGAAGGTGGACTGATTCTTATCTCTCTTGCCACCTGTAAGGTCCGTCCACTGTTCCAAGTTCCCTTTCACTGTAGGACTCTCCTTGGCACTTTGTTCAGCCTGTCCCCTCTGAAACGGGCACTGCCGTCTACATGCATAATTGTAAATAGGACCATAGAAAGCTGTCTTGGGTCACACATTTGGTCTGTCTTGTCCAGGTTTGTCTGCACTGACTAGCCCTCTTTAGGGTTTCGGGCAAAATCCATCGCTTCTGCACACACTGCAAGTGCTCTTCCATGACCACATCCGCTCACCATAAAATAGTGTCACATTCTTGGCGGGTGAAAAATTAATGTCCGTTGTAATTTTCTTGCTTTTTTGGAATTAAGAGAGTGCCTTGTGAGTCAGGAAGTTCCCTGATTTAGACCTCACCAGCAGTATTTTGAGCTTCAGTCCTTGTTGTCTTCTGATATGAGGTATCCTACCTTACAAGGGTAAAATGCTGTTATAATTATGACTGTTGCAATGCTTATTAAAATGAATATATGTGAATATTTCTGAGCACTTGGAAAAACAGACGTGGAAAAACACCATGCAACTGCATTTATTAGTAAATTAATTTGTGTGCGTGTTTAACTTTTGTTTAATTTTAACTTCCAGGGAGCCTCAGCTATTGGGTGGTATAAAAATTAACTGATTGATTAAATATGCTCTGGCATTAGGAGACATAGTGCTACAGTTGTTCCAGTCCTTTTTGGATGGTTGGAAGGCAGCCTAAAAGTTGCGGAGGGAGGGGACCAATAAACTAATATGTGGCTAATTCATCTGGTTTGCAAGCCTTTTCAAGACAAAATTGATAACTTTTTTATGTGTATGTAAAAAATAGGGGTCCAGGAAAATTTAGATGGGCTTCCTGGCTAGTACTACCCTGGTATCAGAAGGTGGTGTGGACTGATTTCTGTTTTGCCCCATGGCCTTGGGTGCCACAGGGCTCAATTCTTGACCCCGTGCATTTCAGCATCTAAATGACAATGCTGAGTGAAATTTCATTAAGCTGGGGCTTAACATGGATACAGATGACATGGGGAGCTCTACCTTTTCCTCCCATGAATTTGGTGCAAGTTTACTTGGAACATTGTGTTCAGTTCTAGTTACCTTACCTGCAAAAGCACATTATTGAATTGGAAAGAGTACAGAGAAGGGCAACGAAAATTATCAGAGGGCTGGAGCCACTCCTCTGTGAGAAGTGCCTACAACAACTGGGACTGTTAAACTTAGAAGAAAGGCGAGTAAGGGGAGGCATGATAGAGGTGTTTAAAGTCATGCACAAGGTAGAGAAAGTAGAGAGGGAGACAATTTTCTCCCACTCTGATGACACTCAAATGGGGGGTCTTCCCATGAAGTTGATTGGTGGGAGGTTTAGGACAGATAAAGGGAAGTGCTTCTTCATACAGCATACAGTTAAACTGTGGAGTTCACTGCCACAGGATGTGGTGATGGCCACTACTAGTCTGGATGGCTATAAAAGGGATTGGACAGATTGATGAGGGAAGAGGCTCTCAGTGGCTACTAGCCTTGCTTCTTTACCAGAAGTGGCACGCCTGCATAACACCAGTGGCTCAGGAGCTAGGCGGGAGGAGGTCTTGCCCCCGTCCTGCTTGAGGGATCCTTTTGGCAGCTGGTTTGCCACTGTGTGTATGGCGTGCTGGTCTAGAGGGACCTTTATCTGCTCCAGCGTAGCGTTGCTTGTGCTGTTATGAGTCCAGAGCAGTGGAACACTGAAGCAAAAAGCTGGAAGTGGTACCGAGATAGGCGGGGGAGACCAGCATAAAACTTCATCTGGAAAAGCAGAGCGGTTCTGTGGGTTGGGAGGTTGGGTGATCTGGGTGGTTGTGTGAAACTGGGCCTGATGGGGTTGTACTTCCCCTGAAGGACCAAATGCGCAGCTCAGAGGAACTCTTGTACTTGTTGCTCTCTGGTGAGCCACAGGTGCTGGCTGTGCCCAGCAGGACTTGTACACCATCTGGAATGGTTGGATCCTGACCTTAGTAGCCCATGCAACAGTTACATCCAAACTTGACTACTGCAATTTACTGTACATGGGGCTGCCTCTGAAGGCATCTTGCAATCTCCGAGTGGTATAGAGTATAGGGTAGCTGCCCAGATGGTGGGGGCCAGGCAGCTGGAAAACCCCTGAGTTGGCATCATTACACTGGATGCCAGTAAGCTGCTGGTCCTAGTTTAACTGCTGGTTCTAAATTGCCTGGCAATGGGCTATTTGAAGGGCTGTGTTCACAATCTGCCCACATGCTAAGATCTACATCAAGGACCCTTTTCAAGTGCCTGACATTTGTTTGTTTAATTTCTTTAGCACCCATTAGGAACCGTTTTCTCAGTTGTTTATAAGATAAAAGTTTAAACTATAAAATAAAATAACATCATATTACTTAATTTTAATATTTACCTTATTCAGAAAATGTTAGGAAGGGAGTGTCTTAAGCTGGCATGCATAAGAGTGTGGAGCTCCTTCCTATTGACATGTACCATAGCATGCAGGCATTTCGTGAGGAGTAAAGATCCTTCTGTTTAACCGGCCTTGAGGTGAATTTGTAGATAGTTTATGTGTTCAGATCAGCTTTGCCAAGTTTTTTGTGTGCTTACTACTCTGACTGGCATGTCTTGCACCAGACTGCGACCGTGTTTGTATGGTGTTTTGTGAAAAGTGGCTTAAAATTACTTCGATTGAATAAATAAAATGATGGGAAAGGGGATGGCCAGGGGCTAGATTAGGGAGGGAAGGGAGGGGATTCTAGAGTTCTAGGGAGCATTATTGTTAAAAACTAATTTGTCCACTATAAAGAAACACAGCTGCTCGAACAAGGGTTTTAAATGGGAATGCTTTGGGCCAGAGATTCTTGACCTTTTGTTCAGGGAACTCTCTTCTCCCTCAGTTGTAATTCAGTGGACTACTCCAGTGCTAATGCACAGTTCGTGCTAATCACCTGCACCACTGAATTGTGAAGTTGCTTTAAATATGACAAACATGTTCAGAATCCACCTTGTTGTTTCTATCCGGTACTTCTTGTCATGTTTCTGGCTTGATCTGAAATGAGGACATATACATAATGAGACAAGTGCAGGGTCTCCTGTCCTGTGCTTGTGTAGATAGGAACATTTGCAGAATTGAACTGAGCAGTGGGACAGGAGTGTATTTTTCTCCTATCCATTGAGTTTCTCCTAGGAATAAGAGTTTCATGCTTGTTTTTATTCCATGAGATTAACGGCTGAGCGAGTTGGTGGGCATAGGAAGGGGCAAGCATCCCCCCACCTGCCGATTCTTCCTTACTGTCTCCACCACTTGCACTTGTGTTACTTCAGCAGTTGCTGGTTTGAAATGGGGTTTCTCTGAGTGCATGTTGTGAAGCCCCAAAGCCAGTAGCTAAGATATGAGTCTGGTAGGATAGTGTGGGATGAGGGTAGAAGGCTTTTACCATCCTTGTTTTTGGTCTCCTGCTGATATGGAGGCGGGGGTTGAATCTAGGCATTATTTATTTAAAATATTTATTATATTTATATTCTGCCTTTTTTCCTACATGGTTATACTTGTGATAGAGCTGTTGAAAACAATAATATCTAAGTTAGTCTGGACTTGATACGGTGTTATTTTAGCAAATTGTTTTCTTTTCTTTTAATCTTTTTCTTTTTAATTTACAACTGGATAAACAAATCATGCCTAGTTATTCGCTTAGTATGTGGAAACAAGTGGTTGGATCCATACATAAGGCTAGTCCATTGTATGTGTTGTTGAATTCTCGGTTGTCATGATGTGTGACCACTAACAAAGCATGGTTTGTTAACTGTGAACAACTCAGAAGAATATCTGTAGTTGCTGTTGGGTTGTGAACACAGGGTTGTTTAAAGCAAGAGTTGTCATTGCATTTGAACCCAGAAATGTAGATTATTTTGCCAGTCTGCAGAGGTGGCAGGCAAGAGTGGTAGGAAAACCCAAATGCTGTACAGGGCAATGCTGCAGTGCTGCAAAGGCCTCTGGAATACAGTGATGGAGCAGTTGAAGGAGGAGGGAAACAAACAGGCCAGGATTTGAGAAAACAAACCATGATTTGTTTCATTGCCCACCAGACAAACCCTGGGTAGGACAACAAACGATGTGTTACATAAACCCTAGATTTGTACTGTATGTGGACCAGGTAATTTTCTTTAGTTTTGTGTGGCCTGAAACTGATTGGTACCCAACTGTCCAAGTTCACAATTAGAAGGAAAGGTTATAGCTAATTGCTAGTTTAAATGGACTAGCAAGATGAGCATGGGTGAAAAAGCAACACGTGCACCATAGAGCACACACATGCACTTGCTTGTGCATACCTGTACTGTTTATTTCCTCTTTATAATGTCCGTACCCTCTTTCCTGTTCACTACTGCTGTTGCTGGAGGAAAGCAGCTGTTTGGAAACTCCTTCAGAATGAAACAGAAATGGCAGTTGACAGAGCTAGTTTCATCAGTACTGCTCTGGAGACCCACACTTCTCTAAACCAGATACAGTGGTATCGGTTTCATTTCTATTTCACTCCCAAGTTGCAGGTTTAAGCTGATCAGTATG